AACGCAAGAGGTCAGCAGACATCGCAGAAGACGGGCGCTTGTGTTGCGTTCGAAACGTCGTGATTTGTTTATTTTATTTTATTTCTACCTACGTGACTTTACTAATAATAAAAAGAGGGCCTGGCTCCTCCCCTCCCCCCTCAACCAGTATATATACGGGGTCGGATCTCTTTGAATTTCTCATTTACTTGATGCAGCTATCGTGCTGTGACGGTTCCACCTGAAGACGGAAGCTTGTGTTGCCTCCGAAATGTCGTGATTTTTATTTTTATTTCACTTTTATTAATTGTTTTTTTACCTACGTGACTTTACCGAAAAAAACCCAAGAATATTTACCGAAAGAACCAAAGGGTAGAAAGTCAGTAAACTAACCACTGCGCCACCGCTCCCCGCCTGCCTTAGTATCATCGATGGCCGAAACGAGGAATTGAACTACCTATTGTTGCGGGCTTGGAGAGATCGTGTGATGATGAAGATGATCATGTAGAAGTCCTGCCGTGGTGGTCTTGTCTACGTGGAGTCCACCATGCCCCCACCGTGCCCACAGTGTCACATTATTTTTTTTAGAACAGAGGACAGACGGGGGGGTGGGCACTTAACATGGGATGGACACAGCTGGCCTGTCTGAGTTAGCAGACGCTTTCAAATATATATTGCTTTGAATTATTTATCGCGAATAACCGCATTGAAATGACCTTTATTTATTTATTTAGGTGCGACGATGACCCTCGTGAGGCCAACGCTGCGTCAGTGGGCGCACACAAAGACAAAGATCCCCCGTGTAGCCTGTAACAGACTGTTGGGGCAAGTGCAGTTAGCGAGCACCTACGAAGGCCGGCACTGTGGTACACGATGGTGGTGGGTGGCCAGCACCACGCCCGGCCGTCTTTGTCTCCCCAGTGGCGGTATTTACACACCGCAACGGATACTCATTTCAGGCCGAGTCGACCTAGGCGGAGGCCCAGCACCGGTTCAGATAATTGTGTTGGCCGTGAGCAGGAAATCGTTGATGCAGTAAATTTAGCTGTGACGGTCCCACCTGATGACGGAGACTTGTGTTGCCTCCGAAACGTCGTGATTTATTATTTTATTTTATTTCCATTATTACTTTTATTAACTTTTAATTTAATGTTTTACCTACGTGACTTTACCGAAAAAACCTAAGAGTATGAATCCTTGCAGTCACGAAAGCTTCAAATCTAGAATTCGAGGAGGGTGTTCACTCAGCCCGCCATCCGTCAGCGGTCGTTAATCATTCGAGACAGGGGGGGGGGGGACTTTGTGGGGAAGCCAAGAGCGGTTGTCTTAACGATTACAAACTGACTCCCCGCCATAGCAACGTGGAATTTCCACCGCTCAGGGCTGTAAACGGGAGACGGTCGCCGTCTCGGTCCTAAGGGGCCGCACTAAAGGGGCCGTCCATAAATGACGTCACGCACCTAGGGGGGGTGGGGGTCAGACATTTGTGACGATGTGTGACAAGGGGGGGGGGGGTTGAGAAATGTGACGTCACATCAAAATGCGCAACTTTAAATAAATATAGACAACACGTTCTACTTAATTAAATGGGCTTCTTAATAAATGTTTTCTCCCACTACATCAGAGTGCAGCGCCACATTAAATACGCACTACAATGACAACAGTTTAAAGCGATTTTAAGCATATTTTATTTTAGGGGGGGGCGCAGAGCTTTGTGACGTCATATTTTGAGGGGGGTCTGACTTTTTGTGACGCCGTGTAACAAGGGGGGGGGGGGTCAAAAATCGTCCAAAATCGCGTGACGTCATTTATGGACGACCCCAAAGGCCAACACGGGCCGCTGCCAGTGAAGAACACCGCCACAGATGAAGGCCTATGACTTGATTCGAGAACGCATTATTTCGTGCACGTAGCGGCCTCTAGTGACTGGAGGAATCGCACGAACCCACTACGTACAGCGAAGCATCAATCGCAAAGAAACATTGATTCTTGCACACGTGGTTTGATCGGCGCATCGTGAGCTCAGCCCGATGTTCATTGATGAATTGATTAGTCGTAACAAACCCTGCGTCTGTGCGACATGTACATGCGCAACGGTAACTACAAAGACGTCTGCTCGGTACGTGACGGTTCATCGGTTCATCCGTTTAAACCCATTTCCATTCTCAGGATGCACGCGTCGAATCGTTCATGCGAGAATATGACACGGTGCTATCTATGATCCTTGTCAATTCTTCCCCGCGGTGAAGTATTGTCAACCAGGTCTCATGCCCGACACGGCATGGGAGGTCTTCGTTCAGCAGTGGATTTACAAAGGTCGTCTGTACACTCAGTGAACTCACAATCAGGCAATCCACAATCAGTGAACTCACCACGCAATTAAAACACAAATTGGGTTGTCATCATAACAGGAATTCGTATCGTGTGACAATGAAACACCCTTTCATTGTCACACGGTAAAGTCACGAAGAAGGGAAATAATAAAATAAAATAAACATACAAAAGCTATTTTATTATTTAATTTTAAATTAATAAAATTTGTTTAGTGTTTCATTTTTATTATTTTATTATTTCCCTTCTACGTGACTACCGAAAGAACCAAGAAGATGAATCCCTGCAGTCACGAAAGCTTTAAATCGAAATGAAACACCCGTTTTGCCTTCCAGCTTAACAGCCATTTCAACAACACAAAACGGCATTTGCGGGCATGTTGGCTTTTGTAGATCTCTAAACCCTAAGAGAACCACTTTCATTAGTCCCCTGTCTGTGTGTGTCTGTGTGTCCTGGGCCTCCCCTAGGTCGACTCAACCTCAAATGTGTACCTGGTGCGGTGTGTAGTAAACATCACCACTGGGGGAGACAAAGGCGGCCGGGCGTGGTGTTGGCCACCCACCCCCTCGTGTGCCGTGCCGGCCTTCATAGGTGCTTGCTAACAGCACTCGCCCCAACAGCCTGTCAAGGCTATACGGGGTGATCTTTGTCTTTGGTGTGTTCACCATCGGTGCCACACTCAGACCGTACGCGCACGATTTCCACTCAAGACGGGCAAGATGCGAGATGCTTTGGTTTACAACAACAACAGCAGCAACAACAACAACAGCAGCAACAACAACAACAAAATCCACCTCCGTAACTCAAAATGAAGTGAGAGAGAGAGCATAACATATCCCACCGCGTTTCGATTTTACAGCTTCCCAAGCGAAATGTCAAGCAAGGCCCCTTTTCCGTTCCAGTAATGTCTCTTCTTGAGCTTGGGCGCTGGCTGGCTGGCGGGGTACTTAGTATTCAGTTCACGCCAGACATCACAGCTGCCAAAGGAGAGGGAGTAGCGAGGGGTGGGTGGTGAGAGGTGCGCTGTGGGGTTAGAGGGAGGCGGGGGGAAGGGCGTTGGGGAGAGAGGGGGAGAAGCGTGGATGAGAAGATACAAATTTAAAAAAATGGGAGCCAAGCAACGTGTTTTGTGTTGTTGTTGTTGTTGATGTTTCACAAGACGTCTCAATTATTCTGCTCTACATTCTGAACGTCACTGCGCCTCGGAGGGCAGCGCGCGGCTTCCACGTCAGTACGGCAAAGAACGCATTCACGTTCACAATCACAGTCACGTTCACAATCACGTTCACAATCACATCCACAATCACGTTCACATTCACAATCATCACATTCGCCATCACATTCACATTCACAATCATCACATTCACATTCACAATCATCACATTCACAATCATCACATTCACAATCATCACATTCGCAATCACGTTCACAATCATCACATTCACAATCACAATCATCACATTCACAATCATCACATTCACAATCACATTCACAATCACATTCACAATCACAATCATAATTCACAATCACAATAATCACATTCACAATCATCACACTCACAATCATATTCACAATCACGTTCACAATCATCACATTCACAATCACAATCATCACCTTCGCAATCATCACATTCACAACCACAATCATCACAATCACAATCATCACATTCACAATCACAATCATCACATTCACAATCATCACATTCACAATCCCAGCTAAAACAGAAACAGGCGGCCCGGCATTCGGCCGGAGCTGACCTATGGGAGGGTAATCAGATCCCGCGATGCAAACACAAAAATAAAACGAACGCTGCGAATCCATTTCACGGGCTTCATGCCACGGGGCAGATCCGCGGAGACGATCGTCTCGTGGTTGGCGGTGGTTGTGGCTGTTGTAGTGGCGGTAGTTGTGGCTGTTGTAGTGGTTGTGGCTGTTGTAGTGGCGGTGGTTGTGGCTGTTGTAGTGGTTGTGGTTGTTGTGTGGCGGTGGTTGTGGCTGTTGTAGTGGTTGTGGCTGTTGTAGTGGCGGTGGTTGTGGCTGTTGTAGTGGCGGTGGCTGTGGCTGTTGTAGTGGTTGTGGTTGTTGTGTGGCGGTGGTTGTGGCTGTTGTAGTGGTTGTGGCTGTTGTAGTGGCGGTGGTTGTGGCTGTTGTAGTGGTTGTGGCTGTTGTAGTGGCGGTGGTTGTGGCTGTTGTAGTGGTTGTGGCTGTTGTAGTGGCGGTGGTTGTGGCATGTTGTAGTGGCGGTGGTTGTGGCTGTTGTAGTGGTTGTGGCTGTTGTAGTGGCGGTAGTTGTGGCTGTTGTAGTGGTTGTGACTGTTGTAGTGGCGGTGGTTGTGGCTGTTGTAGTGGTTGTGGCTGTTGTAGTGGTTGTGGTTGTTGTGGTGGCGGTGGTTGTGGCTGTTGTAGTGGTTGTGGCATGTTGTGGTGGCGGTGGTTGTGGCTGTTGTAGTGGTTGTGGTTGTTGTGGTGGCGGTGGTTGTGGCTGTTGCGGTGGTGGGAGCAGACGGGGGACGATGGGAGGGGGGGTGCTGAGACGGCGCGTGAGATGCAGGAGGAGGTTGTTGGTGGTGGTGGTTGTGAAGCTTCTGAGATGGGGTGCAGAAGGCGAGCCACTCTGATTGGCTGAGCCCCCTTGCACACACACACACACAGATGCACAAATATATAAATAAATAAGAACACATAAATAACACACGGGCACGCGCGCGCGCGCACAAAGGGATAGAAAATTGGTGGCAGTCGTCGTTTGTCGGAAACGCGTCAAGGACATCGCAGCACTCCTGAGGATCGTGCACGCGGGGAGGGCCGCCGCTGCCGGTTGGTGATGATGTTGGTGGTGATGATGGTGATGATGTTGGTGGTGATGATGGTGGTGTTGGTGGTGGTGATGGTGATGTTGGTGATGATGGTGATGTTGGTGGTGATAATGGTGATTTTGGTGATGATGATGGTGATGATGGTGATGTTGGTGATGTTGGTGATGGAGGCTGGGTAAGGTGATGATGGTGATGATGGTGCTGATGGTGATGTTGGTGATGATGGTGATGTTAGTGATATTGATGACATTGGTGATGTTGGTGATGTTGGTGATGAAATTGATGATGTTGGTGATGTTGGTGATGATGGTGATGTTGGTGGTGATGATGGTGATGTTGGTGATGATGGTGATGTTGGTGGTGGTGATGGTGATTTTGGTGGTGATGATGGTGATTTTGGTGATGATGGTGATGTTGGTGGTGATGATGGTGATTTTGGTGATGATGGTGATGTTGGTGATGTTGGTGATGATGATGATGATGTTGGTGATGATGGTAATGTTGGTGATGATATTGATGATATTGGTGATGATGGTGATGTTGGTGATATTGGTGATGATATTGATGATGTTGGTGATGATGGTGATGTTGGTGGTGATGATGGTGATTTTGGTGATGATATTGATGATGTTGGTGATGATGGTGATGTTGGTGATGATATTGATGATGTTGGTGATGATGGTGATGTTGGTGGGGATGATGGTGATATTGATGCTATTGATCATGTTGGTAATGTTGATGATGTTGGTGATGATGGTGATGTTGTCGATGTTGGTGATGATGATGTTGTCGATGTTAGTGATGATGGTGATGTTGGTGATGTTGGTGATGATGATGATGGTGATGTTGTCGGCGATGATGGTGATGTTGTCGTCGATGTTGGTGATGTTGGCGATGATGATGATGATGTTGGCGTTGGACCTAACGGGTCAACGACGGGCTTTCACGGTCAAGAGCCACGAGGGGGACGCGCCCGTCCACACCGCTCGGCTCCCCCCACCTCCCCCCACCTCCCCCCATCGCCGATAATCGTAGAGAGGAGCGCCAGGGGAGAGTCGTGGTGCGCTCCAGGAAGAGGGCGACCGACCTTGACGTTGCCTAAATATTCCCTCTCCCTTTCAAGCCCCACGGTGGCAACAGCCGCAACTCCCGGCTGGGTTTTCACAGCCTCAGTGACGTGGGGAGGGGGAGGGAGTCGCTTCGTTCGGTATCATTGTTAGCCAGGTGGAAACGACGAGGAATGTGTGCGTGCGTGCGTGCGCTTGCGTGTGCGTGTGCGTGCGTGCGCTTGCGCGTGTGCGTGCGTGTGCGTGCGCGTGCGTGCGCGTGCGTGCGTGCGTGCGCGTGCGTGCGTGCGTGTGCGTGCGCGTGCGTGCGCGTGCGTGCGTGCGTGTGCGTGCGTGCGTGTGCGTGCGTGCGCGTGCGTGCGTGCGCGTGCGTGTGTTTCTATTGGGGTGGGGGGAGCGGTAGCGTAGCGCTGCGAACCTGGCCACCCCGGGTTCGATTTCAGGTTCACGGTCAACAGCAGCGACGACTATTTGGTCCTGGGCCTCCGTCTAGGTCAACTCAGCCTCAAATGAGGACCTGGTGCGGTGTGTGTAAATATCGCCGCTAGGGAGACAAATGCGGTCGGGCGTGGTGCTGGCCACCCACCCCCTCGTGTGCCGTTCCGGCCTTTATCAGTGCTCGCTAACAGCACTTGCCCCTACAGTCTGTTAAGGCTACACGGGGGATCTTTGTCTTTGTCTATCAGTGCCGCTGTGTAGACAAGTCCGTACGTTTGTACGCGTGTCTGTGTGAGTGTGAGAACTCTAAATACTCGGAATGTATAATGTTACTCGCTATGGGTAGTTTCGACGCAATGTCTAAGGCGTGATTTCTCTCTCTCGCACTCGACGATACAAAGAAAAATCCGATCGCGTCTCAGTGTAACCTTGGACAGGTTTTGTTGTTGTTGTTGTTGTGATATTAACATAAATGCTAGTGGTTCGCGTACACACGTCCGCTCGTTTCCAGGCCACGATATGAATAATTATACATAGGCATGTTCATTATTTTGGGGCAGTAAATTATTCAACGTAGCCAATTGCGTGTGTTTTGTGTGTGTGTGTTGTTGTGTGTGTGTGTGTTGTTGTGTGTGTTGTGTGTATGTGTTGTGTGTGTGTGTTGTGTGTGTGTATGTGTGTGGTGTGTGTGTTGTGGGTGTATGTTGTGTGTGTGTGTGTTGTGTGTGTATGTTTTGTGTGTGTGTTGTGTGTGTTGTGTGTGTGTGTTGTTGTGTGTATGTATGTTGTGTGTGTGTTGCGTGTGTGTTGTGTGTGTGTGTGTTGTGTGTGTATGTATGTCGTGTGTGTGTTGTGTGTGTATGTTGTGTGTGTGTTGTGTGTATGTGTGTTGTGTGTGTGTGGTGTGTGTGTGTTGTGTGTGTGTGGTGTGTGTGTATGTTGTGTGTATGTTGTGTTTGTGTGTGTGTGTGTTGTGTGTGTGTTGTGTGCGTGTGTCCATGGGAAAATAAATGAGGTCGAGGAAAAATATTACGTTTCATTGACTTGTCATCGATATAATCACGTGCGGTTGGAATCGAGCCCCTCACTGTAGAATGCCATGGGGTCAACCGTAAATGTATAGGCCAGAAAATGTACTCCAAATGGGGGAAAAATCGATGCTATTTTAGAATATCTATAGCATTTACAGACAAAAAAACTGGACTTGAAACAGAGTAGTAGAAGCAAGTCAATATTTTTCTCATTTCCTTTTGGCCCTGACGTGGACAGAGTTAATAACACAAAAACCGGGATATTAATGGGAAATGCAATATCTCACAATATGAAAAGAGTAGATATTTACATGCAGATGCATTGTTGTGAGTGGTGGTATTGTTACTCAACAGGTAAAAGCTGGGACTTGCACGTTGAACTTCTTTCGCGCCGTACGAAGCCAACTGTACTTATCGGTGGTAAATGATAATCTGAGAAGATTTTAGATTTAAAGCTTTCGTGACTGCAGGGATTCATCTTCTTGGTTCTTTCGGTAAAGTCGCGTAGACGGGAAATAATAAAATAATAAAAATAAAACATAATAAAACAATTCTCACGACGTTTCGGCCACAACGCAAGCAGCCGTCCTCAGGTGAAGAACAGGTCTGTCGAGGCGACAGCGTCTGAATGAAACAGCACACGTGCTTGGAGCATATATATAAGCTGGGTTGGAAGGGGGGAAAAGAGCGCCTTGACAAAATAATATGCATATCAAGAGGCATTTAGCATATTTATGTGAAATGCAGGTATGTGATGTTTTATTTTTATTATTGTATTACTTCCCTTCTACGTGACTTTACCGAAAGAACCAAAAAGAATCTGAGAAGATTTACATATTTCCCAGGACAGCTGCTTAAAAGCAGAGAGGACGTCCTGTGAAAGCCAGAACAGGTGACTACTCCGCGTGTCTGCCGGGTTGAGAGTCACCCTGGGTGCTAAGCCAACACCATCGCTTAGGTTTCTTCGTCTCCAATCCGCTTGAGCCTATTCATCAGCTGCTCATTCCCGGAGAATGCTCCTTCGTCCACGATGCCCTCTCGGCCACCGTGCGACCAACATTGGCCAAGCTGTGGCGCGTTTGCTACTCGCTATGAAGGACCCCGATTCAGATCCCGACAGGCCGCTCTGGTTAACGCTGCAGTTGTACCGCCTGCGTTAAAGACGCGCCGTCTGCTTTGCAGTGGGCGTTTAAAGATCCTCCGGTGGCGGGGGTTCGATAAGAGAAGGCCGTTGCGTGGTGCAAATCAGCCGAGTTTTGAAAAAATTGACACCGCAAATTAATGATCAAATTTGGGATTGCACGCACGGCTACATTGCCCCACTGCTGTGAAACACCCCGCCTGCATGATAGCCCTAGAAGAAGATGCGCGAATACCAAATGTCCTCAATTACCACGATGAGTGATATATCCTGTATCTTCACGTTATATCTCTTTCGGTCCTAGTGATCAGCTGGATTCGTTGCTGGGGCAATGAAACATTCCGACGCTTTTGATCACCGCACCCGAGATTTGTATCCCGCTGTGTGCGATTGTAAACTTGAGTCTTAAAATCTTCCACTGCAACACGTCTAAACGCTGCCTATAAATACGTCCCTTCTAGAGGACCCCGTGATGTGCGCGTCCCACTTTTGTTTACAGCCTTGGGAACGCGGTGGCATTTTTAGGCGCCAGGCTAAATGTCCATCTAAATGTAATTCATATCGCAAAGCGAGGGTTCATTTATGGAATTTGATTTTTTGGTTGTTGCAAGCATCGCACTCTTTGCTCTGTCTGCTCTTCGTATTTACTCCGGTTATAACCCAGAGGTCTGCCTCGAAAGGGACACTTTTAGCTGAGCGATCGTGATGCAGCGGTGAACACCCCTTGAACTTGCAACCCTGGAGCTCCCCGGTTCGGTTTCACCGACCCGGCGCGGCAGTTGAAGCCACGGGGAAGATTTTTCTGAAATCCCCACCCCGCCCCCCTCCAGCAGTATGAACGGGTACGTTCACAGCGGGTCGACCGATTGATCTCGCGTGGCGCGGTAAAGTCTGGGCACTCCCATAACTTACAACGTGTCCAAAGTGGAGTGAGCAAACAATTGCATTCAGACGCTGTCTTATCGACAGACCTGTTCTTCACCTGAGGACTTGCGTTGTGGCCGAAACGTCGTGAGAATTATTTTATTATGTTTTATTTTTATTCTTTTATTATTTCCCTTCTACGTGATGACTTTACCGAAAGAACCAAGAAGATGAATTGCAGGGCATTTTCGCTCTGGCAGAGTGGGAAATGTAATAGCCTAGGGGGGGGGGTTCGGGGGAGGGGGGGTGGGATGATGGGACGTGCTGCTGGTCGTGCAGCCAGATGGAGGGCGGAACGAGAGATGGGATTTAGCATCGCGGCAAGAGACGCGTGTCTGGTGGGGAGCGATGTCAACAGCTTGCGTTTGCCCGGGCAGCTTAGGGGCTAATGCCACGTCAC